CATCACACCCCTTCTGCTTAAAAGAGACATTAATCTCTTGGATTGAGTGCAGAGACGAGTGAACAAATGGCTGATAGGGTTGAAAATCAAACCTTATGACGATAAGCTCCAGCTTTTTGGATTATTTCCACTAAGCTACAGGAGAATCAGAGGTGATTTGATCATGGCGTACACCATATTAAACACGCCAAACCATCCCAATGTGAGCATCTTACCGATGCATCACCACCACTACCCTCGAGGCAATCCTCGAAAGATTGCACATCAAAGAGCGAATACTCAGATTCGTGCACACTTTTTCTCACAGCGAATCGTCGCAACTTGGAATGCTCTCCCAGCCGAGGTGACCACAGCCCCCTCAGTAGACTGCTTTAAGAAGAGACTTGGCAATCACGTACTCACATACGGAATATCATCTCCCTCTTGGACAAGCTGTACATGATGCATTTCTTGAGACCTGCTAGTTGTTATCATTGCCATCTCAGATCACTGAGTTACTCTAAATCGCCTCTCACCTCTGTTCCCTCCCCCTTGCTTACACTACGGTACTCTCTCACAATCTTCGCTACCATTTAACAAACTAAATTCATCTATATATTACTCAGTTCTGAAATTTTATTCATATTATCATTAGAACCTTATCCTTACTATCCTTATTACTTTCAACGTTGCAACTAACTGATCTCCGGTCCGGTAATGTGATAGGTTCTGGTATCCAGAAACCCTACTGCCGTGAAACAAACGTTTTCATTCAAATCCCGAGACATACAAACTCATAACCAGCTGCCAACTGACTAGAATTAGACAGTCGAGTGGCTAGACCTCCATCCACTGGACATTACCAAATACCCGGAACCGTACCGAAAGAACAAGAATTGAGTGCAAAGAAATCAGTTGGTTTTCACTAGCTCGTGAAAAAGATATTGGATATTCGAATTTATATGTTCGCTCCGACCTTCAGGGTCATAGACATATGTAACGTTTTCGAAACTTTGCTGTACGCGACACATTAAACAGCCTGTCTACTCTGCAGCCCCCCACCGCATACCGGGCACCTCCTGGCTAGAGACAAACTAACCGGAGTCTAAATTTACACATACCCTTGCACCTTCTGACAATTCGTCTTATATGCGCAAATGATATTCTCTGGTGCCTAATTATACAAATGAATATGCTTACTCATATATGTTCAAGAATTACAATTCACTGTGATTGACGTTGGTTAGTTATGGAAAATACCAAGATACGACTCTCTGGTTTTATATAGTCGGGCACTCTGCAACCTCATATTAAAAGTAGCCCAGACTTTATACGGGCAATTAAAGTTCGAAATGGAATCCTTTTGTTATCGTCATCTCTTTCGGTGCAAGTCATTGTACACTGCATAAGCTGACTTGTAAATCTTATTATTAGCTATTATGGAATCACCACCGAAGAGGCTAGCCCAATTATTGTAATCCTTTGCCCTGTTTTGTTTCTCTTCGGACCACTGAATTGCGTCAGTGAATAGTATTAAGGCTGTATATAAGCATGGGTACTGGATATTTGTCCAAGTTCTTGTTACTTATAAATAACAGTCCATAAGGTGATGTATGTGCCTAGTACGAGGAATAATTCTAGTACATACCATTCAGTCATTAAGAATTTGTTGATTCATTGTAATATAAATGCTAATTACTTAAATGCATTGATTTCAGATCTGGGTATAATAGAGTAAACAGGATATTTGGCCTTGGTAAACGAAATTAATCCAACTAGTTATTTACAAAAAGCGCTCTCCCGGTGTCACTATTTCCATTGATATAATACTTATGTGGACTCCTCCAGTTTGTGATAACCCTCCACCTTTCAACATCGAGAAAGAGCTGGTTCCTACCGTAATATCGGAATCATCATCCAAATCATCTGGTGTATCTTCCTCCTCTAGTGGTTTAGACCGTGATTTTTTGAAAGAGGACTGCCCACAATATACTGCACAAAACATCAGATACCAACACTATCCGGTTCCGGTAATTAAAAGTGCTTTTTTATGTAACATCTTATGCTCATATATTTACATAGGTTAATTATCCCGTCACTTTACTCTCGTTGAGTCTAAGGTAAACTTCTTGGAGCGACTTCCTGGATACCAGTTCCATGAGTGTCTTTCGTTTGTACAAAGAACTCTAATGGAATCGGTATGCTTGCTTTCTGTTATAATTACTTTATTAATCATCCAGTCCTAAACAACTTGTTAAAAAAAGAATATTGTCGATTTATAGGCCATGACTTCATCCATAGATTAATTATTATTCATAGCTACATACTTAAAAATTTTCGTGGTTATTGAGCAGTGAAGAACTATAGTGTTGTATGTATTTCTAATTAGCACTCTACTACCACATATAGTGTAAAGTCTAAAAGACTGGTCCTGAATCTAAGTTGCCAATCCACTTCAACAAACAGAAAGTAGAAATTAATGATATAACAGAGAAAGAGAAATAGTGCCACCGCAGTGTTACGACGAACATAAGAAGTGTATTATAAGAGCAGTAAATAAAATCAAAAGATGCAAATTACTAAATCACGTTAAGCCCATGGTTTGGAGTTGGACCGCCAAAAAAATCACGGTATCTAAAGCTCAACAAAATGTTTTCGAAATAGTTTTACATTCTTTGTTGGTATGAGTTCCATTTTTAGTTTTTATTTGACTTAAAACATGCATAAAATAGAGGCTGAAAATAAATAATAGGTAGTATTAAAAGTAACTTAAACAACCACGTTGTTTCTGTGAAACTTCAACACCTCATTTAGTCAGTCGATTACAATGTAGGACTTCGTATGTACGTATATCAGTTCAAGTTGCCATACCACTTTAGCGCAGAAGCAATTGTCAGTTCAAATCGTATAGTAGTAGAGGTAGTAAAAGTATGACCTGTAATCGGTTAGATTGCGGTTTGAAGATGTTATTCAAAGACAATGTTCTAGTAAAGTAAACTTGAAAAGAGAAAGATAAACGTAATGAGGAATTCAGGAGATTAGAATTTGAGAGAATGCAAGTGGTGGATGCACCTGCGCAATGGAAAAAGATTTTAGGCCATGTCGTTCAAGGTCTCTAACCATCGGCTACTTTCGTCTCACGGACCCCAACAAGATAGTCTACACCGACCAACATGACTCAGTCCACTAGTCAGTGACTTCTCCTACTCCTACACCACAAAACATAGCTCGTCGAAGCAGTCGGTGGTTAGCCATACGTAACACATGTCGCAACCACCTCACCTGATGAAGTTTCAATACTTCATCTATTGATTTGCCATCGTTACCTAGCTTTCGAACCCGGGAAGCAGCATCAGGGCTAATGGATACACGAAGGGTGAATCGAGTTGCTTCTTTATCTTGACATGGAGAGGTCAAGTGAATGATGCTACTCGGACCCTACAGAGGGGTGACAGCAGTAAGGTGTTTCCCACGGACAACCAGCATCCACAGCGATGCTGAGTCGCTAATTGTCCCAATCTACAAGAAAGGACAAAAGTCCCCCTGTGACAATCACAGGGGAATAAGTCTAACTAATATAGTTCCTAAATTGTTAGCCTCGATTATACTTAGACGTCTAACTAGAGCTCGTGAAGAGCAGACTCGAGAAAACCAGTCTGGTTTCAGACCTGGACGTGGCTGTATAGACCACATTTTCACACTACGACAGGTCTTGGAACACAGACACACATTTAGACGTCCGACAATAGTCGTGTTCATGGACCTAAAAGCGGCATTCGACTCTGTGGATCGTGAGTTTCTGTGGCAGTGTCTGTCGTTGAAAGGTGTACCAAAGAAGTACATTAACCTCTCTAATTGAACAATACTGGTTGAGTGAGAGTTTATGGCGAACTGTCATCGGAATTCTCTACATCAAGTGGTGTCCGTCAGGGCTGTCCACCCTCTCCATCCTTGTTTAACTTTGTCGTAGACATCCTCTTAGAGTTGACATTAAGCTCGTCAGATTTTTCAGGGGTTGACCTTCTACCAGGAAAGTCGCTTACTGATCTAGAATATGCCGATGATATAGTTCTATTCGGTGAAGACGCTGACAAAATGCAGTCTTCTGACTACCATAAGCAACAATGCGAGCATGTTCGGGATGCGGTTTTCCCCCTCGAAATGCAAAATGTTGCTTCAAGACTGGGTTGTATCGGCACCTGAACTAGTGATAGGGAGTGAAGTAGTCGAGCTGTTCAAGAAGCATTGCTCGTATATCGTGGGACAACCGAGTAAGCAATGCTGTCGTTAGGAAACGAGTGCTAGGTAACGATGGCAAATCAATAGATGAAGTATTGAAACTTCATCAGGTGAGGTGGTTGCGACATGTGTTACGTATGGCTAACCACCGACTGCTTCGACGAGCTATGTTTTGTGGTGTAGGAGTAGAAGTCACTGACTAGTGGACTGAGTCATGTTGGTCGGTGTAGACTATCTTGTTGGTGTCCGTGAGACGAAAGTAGCCGATGGTTAGAGACCTTGAACGACATGGCCTAAAATCTTTTTCCATTGCGCAGGTGCATCCACCACTTGCATTCTCTCAAATTCTAATCTCCTGAATTCCTCATTACGTTTATCTTTCTCTTTTCAAGTTTACTTTACTAGAACATTGTCTTTGAATAACATCTTCAAACCGCAATCTAACCGATTACAGGTCATACTTTTACTACCTCTACTACTATACGATTTGAACTGACAATTGCTTCTGCGCTAAAGTGGTATGGCAACTTGAACTGATATACGTACATACGAAGTCCTACATTGTAATCGACTGACTAAATGAGGTGTTGAAGTTTCACAGAAACAACGTGGTTGTTTAAGTTACTTTTAATACTACCTATTATTTATTTTCAGCCTCTATTTTATGCATGTTTTAAGTCAAATAAAAACTAAAACTGGAACTCATACCAACAAAGAATGTAAAACTATTTCGAAAACATTTTGTTGAGCTTTAGATACCGTGATTTTTTTGGCGGTCCAACTCCAAACCATGGGCTTAACGTGATTTAGTAATTTGCATCTTTTGATTTTATTTACTGTTCTTATAATACACTTCTTATGTTCGTCGTAACACTGCGGTGGCACTATTTCTCTTTCTCTGTTATATCATTAATTTCTACTTTCTGTTTGTTGAAGTGGATTGGCCGATGCAACATAGAACTTCATACGTAGGTACATCAGTTCTTGTCTCCATACCACATCATCACGGAGATATAAGTGTCAATTCAAATCCAATACTGGAAGATTTAGTAAAGGTATCAGAGGTAATCGGAGAGGTTAGTTTTAGAAGATATTATTCCATGTGTATGATTCAGCGAGAAAAGTTTAGAAAGTCAAAACTAGAGGTTTTGAATAATCCAGAAGAGTAGGATTTGAGAGAACACAAAGAATAAATGCGCCAACGCCATTGTGAGCGATTTTGAGCCATGTCACTCAGGGTACTTAACCGTCGATTATAATAATCTCGCGGACTCCAGCCAGGTAGTCAAGAATTACTGACATGGCTACTTCCACTCGTCAGTGACTTCATGGATTTCTGCCATGTTTTGGTCTGGCCGCCCCTAACTTTCTTCCAACCTACTCCTACACCACAAAACATAGCTCGTCGAGGCAGTCGTTGGTTAGGCCTTGGTAACATATGTCCCAAACACCTCAACTGGTGAAGTTTCATTACTTCATCTGGCTGAAGACGAGAAATTTTTCTTCTGAAAATGTTTTCTACTGCTTCATATTGCAAAAACTATGTTTTATTTTAACGTTTCCAACTTTGTCTGTTGTTTTATGTTATAAGTCATGAGACGTTGTGTGCGATAAATGTATATAATAGACTAACGTGTAGAAATTCAATGAAGTGTGCAAGTAAGTGGCATGTTACTAACCAAAGTGAAGTGTTATGGCGTATATTTTGCATTTATAAAAGTGGTGTTGATGCCGATGACCCCACTCTGTCAATGAGTATGAAAAAACTGTTAATGTGCAAGTTAAACGTTCCGTAGATTCAGACAGACTTACAAAAGGATCAGTAAAAATGATACAAAAATTTAAACCACTTAGCAATATTGCACGTACTGCGTACTTTTATTACTGACCATATGTCATATTTCTAAACATTTTGTAACTTTTAGAAGGTTCGATGCTTGTCATTTCCATACCAAATACTTCCCACTTGTGGGTCGAAAGTGTACCTGTATACATGGACTCTTCCAAGAAATGAAATAATAACTCAGCTATGTTCACTTGCCGCAACATGTTTTCAAGACACAAATATGTCTGTTGGACTTTTGTTTTCAAAACCAATATCCAAAGTAACTATATTTTTTATAAATATCTGTGAATCCTTCTTGTATGTTTAGGTTTTTCTGAGAACACTATTTTACTTGCCAACCTGGATTATGCGATCAAAAATTATGGTGGCTCTAGTTAACTTCATATTAGGCCTTGTTTTTGCATCTAAGATTTTGCTAAAATAAGAAATGATTCTTTGTAGCCTTTACATACAGTAGTTCGGAAATACCTACTATGTAATACAAACTTTTAGTAATTGAATACTTTATTTTTCCAAGTTAGCTAAAGTTGTGTTTCGTAATCAAGTGATCGTATTGGTATGACTAAAGAGTGGTACATAGTCGGGTGGTTCAAGATTTCTATCCTTGAAATCGATGTCTATTCTTAAGGTCCAAATTTCCTAGTCTACTTTCACCGGGTAATTGTAATCGGGGCTGAATAGTAAATTACGTGACACAGAATCGGTCTTAACGGTGTCCCTACATTTATTCCAATCATGAACCTAGCCTTAAATTTACCGACTTTATCTATTACTTCTATTTCATCTGTTCTCTTATCGTTATTCTGCTGTTATTATTCTTGCCTACTTAGTTTTCCACTTGTCGATTTTTTGCGATGTTAGTGTGAATTGAGACAAGTTCAAGCGTCCTACATTTAAACCAGTTCCTGCCTTGTATTTCTGTCTATCAAATCAGAATATGCTATTATCTCATGAAGCTAGTTACTACCGGTTTTATCTATTCTGGAGGCTAGGAAGTTGCTGAGTTAGTTACTGGGACTGACATTAGTCTGTTCGCAAAGTGTGGATGATAGCCCCCAAATTAAACCTCACTAGTCTAGTGAAAATGCTTATCACAAATTAGTCATTTCCGTTTTTGAATGCTGCCTTGTAAAAGTCAAAAGTAAACTTCAGTTTTCGAAGAAATTACTATTAGTCAAACAAAGTTAAAGTTCCAATGCACACATGATTTGGAGTAGGCATTTTATTTTTAAATCACTACTAGCAGTTGATTTCGTAATTTTTGGCAAGGATAATAAGAGTTCATCCTACGTGCCGTATCATGCCACTACTATGAGCGTGCTAATGCAAATATTTCAAAAATCATGTTCATAACATCCACCTTACATCCTGATTATTTTTCAATGTGCGATCCGTCCAATTGTGGAGATGATACTCATTCGTTTGAGCATTTTTAACCTGTGGATTTGAAGTCTAAACTCACATCATCTATCTCTAAGCATCTAGTTAGTATGAATAAACGCATGAAACCAGTGTGGCTAATACAGATCTGACTATAAAATTCGTAGATGCTTAGGAAATCATATTCTGTTTTTATTTTTGTGACAATATTTCAACCGAAAAAAAATTATACGTTCACAAAAAGACTTATCAGCAAATTGTGTATTTTCTCTCATTTTGAAATATCAACAGAAAGATTATGTTTGTCGAATTCCTCTTTATCTAACTCGTGGTATGGTTCGTTCACGTGTGCGATTAGTAGGAACATTTACACTGAATGAGGAGGAATTGAAGTGTGTCGAATCAGCTCATCGTGTGATAGCTGAATTAATTACAAATATTGGTCATATTTCGCATGTTGGTTATAAACCATCAGATCCCCTTCTCCGTACTCATTTCGACAGACAAAATGCTTCAACGGATGTCTCTGAATCTCTCCGTGTCATATTGTTCGATCGATTTGGTGACTTATTATTCAATCCCGAGAAAGCAAATATCCTGTCACTGCTGACGCTGATCCGACTACCAGGTAAACTGTACAAACTGTTTAGTTACATGGTACTTCCTAAAACCTTGTCCGTCTGAGTGTTAGTTGGTACTAAGGTAAAAGTTGTTGAGGATTTATAAAAATTAGATAAATATTGTAATCAGTAGTATGTTCAGATCAGATGGAATGTTTCAAATAGATACGATATAAAAGCTCTTCCGCAACATGGCGCAAAACCGTAGGCGGTTACATGCCGAAATAACTGGGCATAAGTAAGTGATAGTAATGAACAATGAGTTAGAATAAGTCAATTTATAGAATAGAATTCCAAACTGAAAAATGTCGAAAACTACTATGGTGATGTAATGAAGTAGATTTCGATGTCACTAAAATGAGCCATATGTCCTTAGGGCGAAGAGAGAATTACAACCGCTTCCTTCCTTCGCTTAGTTTTACTTAATGGCTGTGAAACGTGGCTGGTAAGAGTAGAGGATATGCGTAGGCTACTGGTTTTCGACCGTAGGTAGGTGTCTTCGAAGCATTGCTCATATGTCCTGGGACAATCGAGTAAGCAATGCAGTTGTTTGGAAAAGAGTATCACGTAAGGATGGCAAATCAGTTGATAAAGCAGTGAAACTTCATGAGTTGAGGTGTTTGGGACATGTGTTTCGACTGCCCAGCCACCGACTGCCTCGTCGAGCTGTGGTTAGCCGTGCAGGAGTAGGTTGATAGAAAGCTAGAAGCGGCCAGAACAAAACATGGTACAAACCCATGAAGTCACTGACAATCGGACTGAGTCATGTTGGCAGATGTAGGCTGCTTGGTTGGGATCCGTGAGACGAAAGTAACCTATGGTTAGAGACCTTGAGCGTCATGGCCTAAAATCGTTTGTAATGCACCGGTGCATCCATTCTTTTTGTTTTCTCAGATTCTAATCTCCTGAATTCCTCGTTACTTCTGTTTCTTTTTCTAAGTTCACTTCACTAGATCATTTTCTTTCTTGGTGGAGGTGTTAAGTAGTCCTGTTATGCTTACTGGTTTCTGGTAGTGCTGAAGTTATTCTTCTGTATGGCTAACATTTTACTCCGGTAGAGCGTTAGGGCGGTGGTATGATTCTCTGGAGTGCATAGAAAGGGTATCTTGTGAAAAAGAAACACATTTTCACCTAATTTAACTTTTCTTGCGTACCAGGACTGATAAATCGGTATATTGAACACAAACCCTTCGGTCAACACCTTAATTATATTCTCGTCAGGCTAATACGGAGCTAACTTTTTCTGTTTGAGTAGTCAAAAATCACTATAAACCAACTAACCTCCAGGAGCACAGGAATGTCCAATAATTCTAGTCGTGCTCTCCCATCCTTTTATTTTTCTACTTTTACCCTCTAAGTTTGATTTATTGACCTTATTTCCTGTCATTAGCAAGTCTACGTCTGCTTTCGTCTCTTAAAATCGCTAGTCAACAAATTGCGTAAATCCGGTTTTCATACTTTAGTCAAGAAGTGTACTGTTCCTTCAGTTTAAATTAACGATAAGAAAATTCGTAGGTCATATTTCAATGTATTTTGGTCGAATCCGATTTTGCTTAGATTTAAAACTAATTTGTGCAGCTACCTCTCGTTTGAAAACTCAACTAGGATTTTTCCTCCCTAACTCGTGAAATCTAACTGGTAGATTTATTGTGATGGCACCAAGCCTAACCTAACCACCGACTAACTCGACTTGCAATGTTATCTGGTGCAGTACTGCGTTGGAAGAAAGCTATAGGCGGAGAAACTAAAATGCGTCACCAAACCATAAAGTCGTCGATAACTGCATTTATAAATAGGTGTTCTTGTTTCGATGGAGCATTTTATAATGGTTACACAAAGCACTTCCAAAGTGTTTTCAGAAAAGTCTCCAGCGTTTTCATCCATAGATAAATACAAAAAGGTTATTGTTTCTTATGTCAGAGATCTGGTCGTATAAGTTTATCAGTATCTTCATTTGAAATCATTTACAAAATCAGACTAGCTGGTTCTGCGAATAGTTGGGTGAGGAATTTGTACACAATCGAGGCTTTGGCAACTCATTAAGTGAAGCCTGGTCTTCTTAATCGTACATTGAGAATTACATGGAATTTCATGCAGTTTTGTAAGACACATTTAAGCGCCAGTATAATGATACATGTTTTATTTGCCTTGTCATTTTAGATTGTAGTATCGATTATGAAGCACTCAACACACTCCTAGAATGGTCTTTTTGTCGAGCTAATGGAATTTCAACGGCTGATGATAATTCATCTGTAAATGTCAAACCTGTACATGGTATTGTGCCTAAATGGAGAATCCGATTGAGTCAAATACCGCAAGACAATTGGGTTGGATTGGTAATCAAACCTAATCATTTGCCAGATAGTGATCCTGGTATGTTTTCTATCTCGAAAATTAGTTCGGAAACTGCTTTGAGTATTATACCAGAAACCTATGCTTCTAAACTTGGTGATTTCCAAAATGTCAAAAGCGCCTCATGTCTAACTTATTTAGACTATTATACAGTTAAATATCAACAGATGAAAAGCATATCTTCTACAATAAATCCTTCACTACCATTGTTTGAATGTATGAGAATAACTCGTCATCAGAATTCCACTCAAGTTAATGCAGGTTTGCGAAAAAACAAATCATTAATCAAACCATCAGTGTTCCTTTCTGACGCTTGTTTGGTGCATCCATTATCTTCATGGATATGGTTCCAAGTTTCCTTGATACCAACAATTCTCTACCAAATGTCACGAGCATTATTAGCTTCACAACTATTTACAGAGTTGAATTACGAACTGAAAAGTTCTCAACCATTCTCTCAAATTAGAATGAATTCACTAACTATAACCAACGATTCACTTTCTCATACAACCATACTTGTTCCTGATCGTTTAAGTGCTCCTGTTTTTTCGAATGGTGAACAGATAGAACAAAATGTCTTCGATTTTGAAGTGGATAGAGCAACTTCAGAAATGGATAAAAAATTGGATAATGAAGCCTATAATGAAAGTTTAGAGAAATTTGCAATTTGTCCTCATCCTAATAACCTAATTGAACCAACTACATTACTAGGAGCTCGAGATGCAGTAGATCTCGAACGTTTAGAATTTTATGGTGACTCATTTCTACATTTTATAGCTACATTGTGTGTTTATGGTACCAATCCTCAAGATGCTGATGAAGGGTGTTTAAGCTCAAAAAGAGGTTTACTTGTGTCAAATGCTCATCTTTACGATATCGCTTGTGACTTAAAATGGTATGAATATTGTACTAGTCAAATATTTTCTCCACCAGAACACTTCTTACCGCCATGCTACATTGTTGCATCCGAGGTTAGTGACAATCTAAGTTTTCTTAAATTGTGTTCTTTTACTTACGTCCTAAACGTTTATTATATATATATATATATATATATATATATATATATATATATATATATATGAGAGAGAGAGAGAGTTCATGTATACTAACTAGTAGGGGACCACTTTATTGTAAACAAAAATAGAAACTTGACAAATGTTTTGTTCTGCTGTCCGACTTCAAGGGAACAGTCAACTTATTATGAAAAATAGAGGACTTAGATGAATAGGAAGATTTAATTCCCAAACCGAATCACACCACATATAATACATCATTCTATATGCTGTTTTTCTGTCAAACCTCATACATACTGAGACCTTGAGCATCTGCGTAAACGACTCCATAAAACAGCGTGACTTGTTTGGGATACTTCAACTACCGTGGAACCCTAAAATGGCATGTGAACGTAGGCACTTAATCCGTCTAGACTCATTTAGACTATTGTTTTAACAGATATGATTAGTTGGCTATTCATTTTTCACCTCCGATGTGGCAACGACGAAAGTTAGTCAAAATTCATTTAACTAGACAGTACTGATTAATCTCCTACCATTTAACTGTGTCATTTTTCTCTTTTTAGGCTTGCAAAACAGATCCACGTCTGTATATTCGTTTAACAGATAAATCTCTAGCAGATATGGTCGAAGCACTGATAGGATGTTTCTTACTACGTTTAGGATTACGTGCTGCTTTGAATTTACTCCACTACCTTCAAATATGTCCTGTGAACTGGAATACCTTGACGATTAACAAGCATTTTGAAGTTGGAGCTCCATGGCATTTGTTTTTACGTCCAAACTTACGTTCAGAACCCAATTGTGCAAATTCTACAAATCCATCATATAAATCTTCACGTATATCAAAAGAAATGATACTAGAATTAAATCAAAAATTTTTGAAATTACAAGAAAAGCTAGGTTATTGCTTTAAAGAAATTGAACTACTTGCTGAAGCCATGACTCATCAGTCATCATCTAATAAACAATTTTGGGGCAATTATCAAAGGTAATAATTACTACTCTCAACCGTTTTTACGATAGTTTTCTTAGATAGTTTTTATTTTTTATTTAACTTTTTATCAGTATCAAGTTATGCAGATTGTTAAGTTTCATTCAAAAAACTCACTAACGTAAAATCACAAAATGTGCTCAGTAATAAGTAGCTTTGAGAAGAAATTCTCAAAGTTCTAGTGAGAAGGCATGACAAGTGGAGTTCAACCCTGTTGGGTGTAGGCAGTAGATACTGAAGACAATGGATGACGTTAAGCAATAATTGAGATTGATTAGAGTTAAAAATTAATAACGTTTGTTACTAGTTCAGAGGTCTTGGATGTTAAGCGTTGGCGTGCAAGATCGAATGCCCTGGATTTTATTCCTGCTAGTGGATATCGTGGATGGGCAGTGCTGACTAGTCCCATACTAAGACGAAATAGCGGTCTAGTGCATCCAGGTTTCTAATGGCGGTCTGACAATCATCGAGTCATTATTCTAATGAAATTTACGGAGGTAGAATTAAAAAATATTATAGTTGATATTATTTTCATTTTTTCATCAACTATCCTCTACGATGACTACCGTTGGTTAAACTATCCCTATATAATTTAATTTTTGGATGATGATGCTCGTAAATTTGTTCGCGCAGCGTGATTTCATAAATCGCTGATTTGTCTCACTTAAAATGGTATGGAATTTACAATCAAATGAGCCACACAGAGGTATTATTTAGTCAATAACCTAATTTCTTACGTCTGTTACCCCCAGTCAGTCACAAAGGAAACATTCGTACGTATGTACACCACTACACGTTACAATACCGCATTAACACAGAGACGCAACTGTCAGTTCAAATACCATAGTGGTAAAGAGAAAAATGTGTTAGCGGTAATGATAAAGACTAGAGTTCGAAAATATTATTCAACAAGCGTAATTTCGTGCGATGAGTTTAGGAAGAGAAAAATAAGGGTGATGAATAATTCAGAAGATCCGAATTTGAGAGAATGCAAGTGGTGGATGCACCTGCGCCATTGCAAACGATTTTAGGCCATGTCGTTCAAGGTCTTTAACCATCGGTGACTTTTGTCTCGCCGACCCCAACCGGGTAGCCTACATCTACCAACATAACTCAGTCCATTTGTCAGTGACTTCATAGATTTCTGTCATGTATTGGTTTGGCCGCCCCTAGCTTTCTTCCAATCTACTCCTACGCTGCAAAACAAAGCTCGTCGAGGCAGTCGGTGGTTAGCCATACGTAACACATGTCCCAACCACCTCACCTGATGAAGTTTCACTACTTCATCTATTGATTTGCCATCGTTACCTAGTACTCGTCTCCTAATGACAGCATTGCTTACTCAGTTGTCCCAGGATATACGAGTAATGCTTCGAAGAAATCTATGATCGAATACTAATAACCTATGACTGTTCTCTATTCTTACCGGCCGTGTTTCGCATTCTTATAGTAAGACAGGGCGAACTGCTGCGCAGTAAACTCATCCTTTGGTAAGCGAACGGATATCTCGCCTGCGCCACAAATGACGTAAGTTGGCAAAAGCCAATCGAGCCATCTGTATCCGTGCTGAGATTTCGTCAGTCACCGGGCCATCAGTGCTGATGAAACTCCCCAGATAAGTGAGGCGGTCTACACGCTCGACTATTTCACTCCCTATCACTAGTTCAGGTGCCGATACAACCCAATCTCGAAGCAACATTTTGCATTTCGAGGGGGAAAACTGTATCCCGAACATGCTTGCATTGTTGCTTAGGGTGGTCAGAAGACTCTGCATTTTGTCAGCGTCTTCACCGAATAGAACTGTGTCATCAGCATATTCTAGATAAATAAGCGATCCTCCTGAAAAGTCTGACGAGGATAAAATTAACTCTAAAAGGATGTCTATGACGAAGTTAAACAAGAATAGAGAAAGTGGACAGCCCTAACAGGCATCACTTGAAGTAATCAATTCCGATGACAGTTCTCCACAAACTCTCACTCGATCAGTGGTGTTCGATTAGATAGCTTGTTTAAGGTTAATATACTTCTTTGGTACTCCTTTCAATGACAGACACTGCCACAGAACCTCACTATCGACAGAGTCAAATGCCGTCTTAAGGTCGAGAAGTACTACTATTGTGGGGCGCCTGAACGAGTGAGTGTCTTTGTTCTAGGACCTGACGTAGTGTCAATATTTGGTCTATACATACACGTCCAGGTCGAAAGCCGGTCTGGTCTTCTCTAGTCTGCACTTCACGAGCTCTAGATAAGCACCGAAGTATTATTGGGGCCAATATTTTCGATTCTATATTAGCTAGACTTATTCCTCTGTAACTGTCACAAGTGGACTTTGGTACAATCAGCGACTGAGACCAGTCAAATGGGATTACGCCCAGTTCTCAAATTCTACCTAAGATCTTAATCAATCTAACTGCTAAAACTGAGCCACCATCCTTAAAAGTCTCAGGGGTAAGTCTGTCATGCTCTGCTGCTCCACCTCGCTTCAGATTTCCTATAACTTTCTCAAGATCATGTAGAGTAGGGGGACTTACGTCGATTTGCCATTCAGGATGACTGGAGATCGTGGGTAACAGAAGAGTGGCTCGAGGCCAGTTAAAATGATCCCTAAAGTGTCCTGCCAATCTGTCCAGTCTCCTGAAATAGTCTCACTCAAAGTCGGGTTCCTAATACCAGTTTCCTTGATAAGTCGGTACAACTGTCTGTTGTTGCCTATCGCCGCTGCCTTTTCCATTTCTCTCGATTTCTTTACCCATCACTTCTCTCGATCATTGCGTAGTCTTTTTATCAGTATGCGCCTAAGCTGACTTCGCTCCTCATCGCGCTCAGACCCAGGTGGGAAGAGTTTTTGAGCATCCATCAGATCGGTAGATGCTGTTGAGATCCACGGCTTCATCCTAGCCTTATGGTTTACCTTATTAGAAGATATCACTGCTGTTTCCACAGCCTTTTTGATATCATTCCAACCTGCCTCCGGATGGGAATCGCTTACATAGTTGCTTAACTCTGTTTCAAGTTGCTCCTGAAATATTTTCTTAGTTTGATTATCATTAAGTAAAACCCTAAGTGGCTTCCTTACGGTGTCTTTCCTACGCCCAGTAAGCCTCAAACAGATACGCGCTCGCACTGGAGCATGATCTGAATCTAAACATGTGCCTCAGAACGAGCGACAATCCTCTGTCGAACCCCTCCATCGGTGCCTAATGGCGATGAGATCTAGTCAGGTCCAATGAAAGACGACTTTGGGTGTCGCCAGGTCAACAGATGTTTTTCCTTATGCCTAAAGTTAGTGTTTGTTAGAAAAAGGTGGTTATCTGAGCATACTTGCAACAGACGGTCGCGATACCATAAAATCCATCCATTTGTCTTCCGTTTTCACTGAGTCTACCTACTTGAGCATTGAAGTCACCAGCCATTATAACTATATCAAAGCTCTTAACTTTTTGGAGGAGGTCCGAAAGCTTTCCCGAAAACCTCATCTTTCACCTCGTCTGAACTGCTGTCAGAGAGAGCGTTGGCGGATACGACGAAGAGGCAACGGCGGGTGCCCCTATCTTTCTGAATTCTTACCGTCCCGTTCAGTCGGACAGCGCAAAGGCGACTATCCACTGGTATCCAGTCGAGTATAGCTAGTTCTGCTCTATGACCTAATACTATACTTACGCCGTCGAGTCCACGGGAAGCAGCACCAAGGCTTGCTGAAGTGCGAGGCGTATGGAGGCAGATGTTGCTTTGCAGCTGCCCACACTGCTGAAAGGTTCTGGTTTTCAGTAGGCGCATCAGCCTCATGACCTGCGCATGAACTTGACTTTCATCATGAGACGTTATAACTCTTATAAATGAAGACTTGACTTCCATTGCAGAGTTTAAAAGGTCGGAATTATTTTTAGTTAGTAGCGTTTTTTAGGGAGTTGCTTTTTCCCGGAACAGTGTCGCTAACCCCTATTCCAACCTTTCTCCTTTATCTGGGCTTGGAACCAGCAGTGTCTACAGGCGGGACCTCAGTAACCTTAAAGGTGGCTGCAAGTGTAGCTGTTCAGACTATTATTTATGTTTTATTCATTCAGTTAGATTATTTAATTGTTTATTGATACTTAATTAGAATAGTTCTGGTTAAGTTTTGAAACTATTATTGTAATTTCTCTTCCGGGATAAGCGTAAAAATGTGTAGATTGATCGAATCATACCATTCATCATAAACTCATATATATATATATATATATATATTGAATAGTACAGCACTTAATAATTATGTTAACTAATAGTTCGTACAACCCAACCACTTGATAAATCAAAAAGAACAATGTTTTTAAAATAAAATGAATTTACTAAATTGCGGTGTTTCTCATCGTCTGCAAACTTCTTAAATTTTTATTCGTAATTTTAATATAAAAATATTTTATTGCATACAATATTTAGTAAGATTTAGTTCGAGCCAGCATGCGAAACACGAAAGAACAACATGCTTAACATAATAGTTAGGGTTCGTCAGTATTTGTGTTAAATATGAATTTACAAAATGGGCAAAGTGGTTACAGTCTTAAACGCTTGTAAAACAACATTGAATAAAAACAAATTTTACCATGTGGGTGATAATCGGTCAGTCACTCAGTCAGTCACCTAAAATTTAGAACTTCGTAAGTACGTACATCAATTCAGGTTGCCATACATCATCGGCACAGACATGCAATTGTCAATTCAAATCCCATAGTGGTAGAATGTAGTAGAAGTCACTAGCGGTTATGGAGAAGATTAAGAGTTGAGGTTGTGATTCAAGAAATGTATCTCAGTAAAATAAATTCAAAAACAGAACAAGCGATCATTAGAAATTTTGAAGATTAAAATTTGAGAAAAGATAAAGAATGGGTGTTTTGCGCCGTTGCAAACGATTTTGAGCCACGTCGTTTAAGGTCTCTTACCATCGGTTACTTTCGTATCGCGGACCCCAACCAGGTAGCCTTGCATCTACCAACATGACTCAGTTCACTTGTCAGTGCTTAACTAGACCTCGGCTATTTGCAACTGGTCAAACCAATGTACACCAATTCAGTTTGAGTCAACAGGCGTGGCATAACATACCCCGGCGAATGTTGACTCTTGGAAAGACATCGTAATCAAGCTGCCCAAAAAAACATAACTACCACATGCTGTTTAAGCTTGCTGTGTTGTTGGTCTGATGCGAGGGCTGCCAATTTCGATAACGATGTCAGAAGCAGTGTCTTTTTGCCATCTAAATGAATGTCCATTTATATTAAGAGCAATGAATTTTCACTCCCCTTGGATTGACCTCTGACAAGATGGAAAACCTTGACTCCTGTTCGCTAATGGATATTTTGAATATAAAATACCACAATTTGACCAATGTACATATAGCCCTTTTTAATCAAATGCAATCGTCTTTGTTATGTTTATTAGCTATATTTGTATTATTATCATTATTTATATAGAATAGATAGTTTGGCCATCACTGGAATCTAGGATGCGCATTTCGTCTTATTTAGGACTGACCAACTGGGTGTACCTGAATCTCAGGGTCCATATTCACCTCGGGACTCGGACCCAGTACAGTTTCCTTAAACGCCATCGCGTTACCCACTTCGCTACTAAGTCCTCGTGCGATGGGGTAAAGTTTAATTCATCTATATAGGTTGTCTGAATCTTCCTATTGATGCTTGGGACTTCAGTTGAGTCTCTGAGTGAACATCAACCTTGAGATGCAGGTGCGTCCATCTAACGAGTTGCAAGTTGGATGAAATGCGCATCCTGGAGTTCACTAATAACCACATTCTATCTATCCTATATAAACTTGTGACAACGGCTATATTGAAGCGATCCTTATAGGGATGCCCATATACTAAGCAGATTGATCAAATTTCAACTGAAATATCAATAGCAGGATTGGATTAAATATTATTATCATTACTATTGGTTTCACACCGCTCTCCATCTCCCGAACTCATGATCGATTGACTTAGCTCTCACCCCACTTTAATATTTCTTATTGAATTTATGTAACATTAACCACTAAACATTCGATCGTATTTGGTGGCTGTATTATTATATCTGTGACCTTGTCTGACTCATATTCATTCAGACCATTAATGTCACAAGTTCACATAAAGTTCACTGTGCAAATGAGTCATCTCAACATTAACAGTATTATTTTATTTCGCAATCCTAACTTCATGGATGCCATGATTTGGAACGATGTATTTTGCTTTTTTTTTGGATTATTAAATTGGGTATATAATTATAATTGTACAGCCTGATGAAAATTTATTGTGAAGAATATTCTTCATTCATATATTAATGATTTGATGAATTGTGGACAACGTGAATGCCTCAGCAACGTTCAAAATATTTAACAGGCAATGTACACTATTTTACTGCTTTGCAAAAGTCTTTGACATCATCAATCACATTCTAACTGATTTTAGCATACTGAAAGAAAGTGTAGTAAAATTATCATTACCGTGATATATTTAAATTTGGACATATCAAATAATTTATCAAATCACCTCCCTTCTCGTCAGTCACATACAAGCAACATGTTATTTGTGTAAATACAGTTTTGAAGAACCATGGTGAACATGGTTCTAGTGAGTGAATGTCATGCTAAATAAGAAATTTTGACCTTATCTTCAAAACTGTATTTACACAAATAACATATTGCTTGTATGTGACTGACGAGAAAGCACGAAATGGTACTATCTCACAAAATATGTCTTCTCATTTCTCTATTCAAATTTATCAAAGGGAACCACTGTTTTGAAAATCACAATAAATTATATAGAAATAATTGTAACCGATGTTACTCGTTGTGGAAAATAAGATGATAAAAAGATGGAAATTTTATTAATTAATTAATTAGGTAAATTTAATTTAATTAATCATTCAAATACTTACCCTAAGATCTTTATACTAATTAAGCATTGGTATGATAAATGCACATGACGCAATCAGAGTATTTTAAAAATGAGACTAGATATGGAAGAAGGCAGTCAATAATATGCTTGTATTGCAAACGGATGTCTGATGATTATGTATACATATTTTGTTTTATAATAATATTGATAAATATGATAAAATTTGCTACCTTTAAAGATCTTGGTGAGTAAAACAACCGCAACATTAAAATATGATGGGAAAGAGAAAGACAATTGTATTTCGGAATGAATAGTTGTTTTTTGAACAGGTGAATAATTCATTAATATTTTGTTTTATCTACCTTGAAGATACTTTCAAATATCACTAATCGATTAGTTTGCCTGTTCTTTTTTTACAAAAAAAAATACGTGAAGTTGCATCGACTCATCTAGCTGTTCTTGATTTTGTAAATTTTACTTAAATTCTGATAAATTTTCATTCACATTTTATATCTTTTAAATTTATTTTTCTATATTTATTATTACTTGTATCCTGTACACATTAATTTCTACTATTGTCAACCGATTATCATTGGTTAATGTTATCGTATCAAAGATTAGAATTTCTTGGTGATTCTATATTGGGTCATATTGTTAGCAATTATCTATTTCAAAAATGTCCAAATTCATCACCAGGTTAGCTTATTTTAAGTTATCTGTTGTTTTTTTTATTCAAGATATATGTGTGATGGAAAGTTTTAAAAATATTTTCAATTTATGACTTGATATATAAAGGTGTTTCGGTTAAATAAAAGTCTAAACACGTTTTAGATTTACTAACAGAGCCGTTCCTTAAAACTGTACATGATGATTGACATTATTTGATATCTTCTATCAATCGGCATTTATTTTAATAAACCAAATAAGAAATGACTTGTGTAGGAGTACGTACTAATCGATAATCGTCTTTCATATGACGGCTCCCGGAATTGATAAACGTATAAAAATGTTTTGCCTACTTACTTACTTGTTTGTTTGTTTGTTTACAATCACAGAGTCTTCATGTAGACAGTCACTTAATTCCTTACACCTATGACCCCCATTGCAGCATAGACCACTGACCAGCATTCTCCAACATACTCTGTCCTGCGCCTTCTTTTCCAGTAATATCTATTTGGTGTTCGGTCTCATGTCTGTCTTCGATTCTCGGCGTATTGTGTTATTTGGTCTTCCTCTTCTCTTTTGGCCTTGAGGATTCCAAGTGGTGGCTTGTCTCGTGACGCAGTTCTATGCTTTCCTCAATGTGTGTTCTATCCACCTCTAGCTCTTCATCCTGATTTCTTCCTCTTCTAGAATCTGGTTTGTCCTCTCCCACAGTAGGTTATTACTGATGATGCCCGGTCAACAGATCCCCAGTATCTTGTGTAGACGATTATTAATAAATACTTGTATCTTCCGGATGATGGCCTTCAGGGTTCTCCAAGTTTCCAACCCATACAGTAGAATTGTCTTGACATTTTTGTATTGAAAATTGTACTTTGATGTTTGTCGATAGTTGTTTCAAGCCCCAGATGTGCTCCTATTTGCGTGATAATGAAGAATTTTATACATACTATAGAACTCTCACTCCAAGCTTTTATCAAAACCCTGTTAATACTTTGATTGTTTTATTCACATTATCATAATATCTTTTATTAATAGACAATTTGTTTCTTCCAATTCTAATTGGTGTTAGTAATTTGAAATGAATGACTTCAGTTGCTTTGGTTGGACAGAAGAGTCGTTAACGAAATACATGTGATTCACTATATTCTTAAAATAACGTCGTTCTCAATTTACTTAAAATGTAAAACTTTCACTAAATAACTACTACCACAACTACAATAGTTATCTGCTTGCATTATGTTTTGATTCCGTTAATTTTAATGTAATATCTACGTCTATCGTCACAGTTAGTTGAACATAAGCATTTAGAATATTCAGCATTAACTATTGGTGTAATATTAGTATGATATTTTTTAGCCTGTCAAGTTTTATGATTACTTTTTATATGTTGGTCTTAAATATTTATAATTCACTGTATGTAATCCACCAAAAATGATCTAGAAATTACTTCTTATTTGAGAACTGAAAACATGGTATAAATTTGCTACATTAGAAGAATCAGTGTATATGTGAAAACATCATTTTAGTTATCGAAGATGTCAATAAAATATTGACCAGAGAGCTTGCTGGATTATTGTTAATTGGAAATAGTCAACAGGAAATTTGAGATAGTATTGTCTAGTCTCTTAGACTAATTGCCACATCGCATTTAATTGATGTAAACCTGTTGGTCTTACGAATAAACAAAAGTGAGACCATTCACTACCCGGCGATCAATCAATATAATTGACTGGGCTGCTTGGAAAGGTTTGGTAAAGGTGTTTCGACATCCTGGAATGAAGCTGTCATCCTGTCCAGTGCAACTATCGGGAAGATGTCTGTGTTCAAGTTCATCGAAATCAATGGATTCCGTTATATTCTGACTATGCGTAGACTGAAAAGCTGACTCAAGAGGAGCTAACTGGTTTAGATTCACTTTGTGGATGGGATAATCACTTAGTTATCGTTCGTACAATGCTGGTACACCACTACATTTATTAGAGGCCAACAATCATTCTATTAATTGGCATCAGAATTACTTTTGTTTCATTACATAGGATATACAGTACTCTTTTCCCATTGCGCTTAGACTGGGTTTGACACTCACCATTTCTCTTCATCATTGACACGGATGGCGTTCTAGATGCAGCTCTGAAAGAAGTAGATGGGAGGGGTATGGAATCCTTATCTGAAGTAAAAGTTTTCGATCTAGAGTATATCGATTCGATTATACTCTGAAGGGAGTCTTTGAAGCCAGACAGACAGACAGAAATATACAAAACAGAACTTCGTACGAAATTACATCAGTTCAGGTTGCCATGCTCCATCAGCACAGAGACACAACTGTCAGTTCAAATCCAAGAGTGATAGCAATAATAGAAGTATTAGCAGTAATGGAGAAGATTAGGGGGCGAAGATATGATTCAAGAAGTATAATTCAGTAAGATAAATTTAGAAGGAGAAAGGTAGAGATTATGAGGAATGCAGAAGCTTAGAATTTCATAGAACACAAAGAGTGGATGCACCTGCGCCATTGCAAGCGATTCTGAGCCATGTCGTTCAAGGTGTATAACCATCGGTGACTATCGTCTCGCGGACCCCAACCAGGTAGCCTATATCTAACAACATGACTCAGTCCACTTGTCACTGACTTCATAGATTTCTGCCATGTATTGGTTTGACCGCCCCTAGCTTTCTTCCAATCAACTCCTACACCACAAAACATAGCTCGTCGAGGCAGTCGGTGGTTAGCCATACGTAACACATGTCCCAACGACCTCACCTGATGAAGTTTCACTACTTCATCTATTGATTTGCCATCGTTACCTAGTACTCGTCTCCTAATGACAGCATTGCTTACTCAGTTGTCCCAGGATATACGAGTAATGCTTCGAAGAAATCTATGATCGAATACTAATAACCTACGAATGTCCACTACTCTCACCGGTCGTGTTTCGCATCCGTGTGCTAAGACAGAGCGAACTGCTGCGCAGTACACTCATCCCTTGGTTAGCGAACGGATATCTCGCCTGCGCCATAAGTGACGCGGTTTTGCTTAAGCCAATCGAGCCTTCTGTATCTGTGTTGAGATGTCGTCAGTCATCGGGCCATCAGCGCTGATGAAACTCCCCAGATAAGTGAGGCGGTCTACACGTTCGACTACTTCACTCCCTATCACTAGTTCAGGTGCCGATGCAACCGAGTCTTGAAGCAACATCTTGCATTTCGAGGGGGAAAACCGCATCCCGAACATGCTTGCATTGTTGCTTAGGGTGGTCAGAAGACTCTGCATTTCGTCAGCGTCTTCACCAAGTAGGACTATGTCATCGGCATATTCTAAGTCAGTTAGCTAGCCACCTGGTAGAAGGTCAACCCCTGAAAATTCAGACGAAGATAAGGTTATATCTAAGAGCATGTCAATGATAAAATTAAACAAGAATGGAGAGAGTGGACATCCTTGACGGACACCACTTGAAGTAATGAATTCCGATGACAGTTCGCCATAAACTCTCACTCGACCAGTGGTGTTCGATTAGAGAGCTTGTATAAAGTTAGTGTACTTCTTTGGTACATCTTTCAATGACAGACACTGCCACAGAAACTCACGATCCACAGAGTCAAATGCCGCCTTAAGGTCCAGGAACACATCTATTGTCGGACGTCTAAATGTGTGTCTGTGTTCCAAGACCGTCGTAGTGTGAAAATGTGGTCTAAATAGCCACGTCCAGGTCTGAAACCAGACTGGTTTTCTCGAGTCTGCTCTTCACGAGCTCTAGTTAGACGTCTAAGTATGATCGAGGCTTACAATTTAGAAACTATATTAGTTAGACTTATTCCCCTGTGATTGTCACAGGAGGACTTTTGTCCTTTCTTGTAGATTGGGACAATTAGCGACTGAGACCAGTCAGATGAGATTACGTCCAGTTCCCAGAATCTACTTAAGATCTCAGTCAACCTAGCTGCTAAAACTGGACCACCATCCTTAAATATCTCAGGAGTCAGTCTATCAGGACCTACAGCTCGCCCTCGCTTTAGATTTCCTAACATGTTTTGAATCTAAACGTGTGCCCCAGAACATGCGACAGTCCTCTATTGAACCCCATCTGTGGCTGGTGGCGATATGATCTAGTTGCCTCCAACGTTGTGACGACTTTGGGAGTCGCGAGGTCAAAAGATGTTTTTCCTTATGCTTAAAATTAGTGTTTGCTAGAAATAGTTGGTTATCTGAGCACAGTTGTGACAGACGGTCGCCATTGTCTGTTATCTGAGCCGCGAGACCGTAACATCCACCTAGGTGTCTTTCATTTCCACTTAATCTATCTACTTGACCATTGAAGTCACCAGCCATTATTACTACATCAGAGCGCCTAACCTTTTGGAGTAGGTCCGAAAGCTTTCTGTAGAACTCGTCTTTCACCTCGTCTGAACTGCTCTCAGTGGGGGCATAGACAGAGACGACGAAGAGGCAACGACGAGTGTCCCTATCCTTCCGAGTCCTTACCGTCCCGTTCAGTCGGACGGCGCACAAACGACTATCTACAGTATCCAGTCAAGGAGAGATAGTTCTGCCCTACGACTCAATGCTATACCTACACCAGCGAGACCCTTGGAAGCAGCATCAGGGAGTTTTTATTTTGACAAGGTGTAATCAGATTAATGACTGTACTAGGATCCTGTATGCGCGTTTCCAAGACGCAGCATACATTGATTGAGCGAGATTCTGATGTCCTAGCTAAGAAGGCCTGTTTCCCTATTTGACATAATGTCAGTACATTAAATGCTCCAACATGTAGTCTAGAGCGGGGTTTAAGGAGATTAGGAACGACGTTTGGCGAACTCGCATCGTTTGCATTAGCTGTGCACTGTGATAAAGGAATGTGAGAAGAGTTAGTCGTGGCGATAACAGAGGTACTAGGGGTAGTAGGAAGAATTTTATTTTGGCCTATTCGGTCTCGTGTGCTGTTACGGGTATGAGGGCGGTTGTCATTTGCCGGTCGCCCACACCGTGGAAGGTTGTTTCTTGAGGGACCTGAAAAGGAAAATAGATTAGTGTTGGTCTTAGAGACCTGGGTGCGTTACCGCAGAGCCCAAGGGAAAACTGCTTGAGGCCGGTCACGCACGGCGTTTTTATGAAATGGTTTTTGAGTGTTAGCTGCGCTCTTAAAGGCCCTTGGTGGGCACCCTTACCGCCGGAGACGGAAATCCGTGAGGTAGGGTTAGGTGTGACATTTTTAGGGTCGACCTTTTCTAACCCTTCCTTCCTTGTGAGAAGGCAGCATCGCTGCAGATGCTGGTTGTCCGTGGGAAACACCTTACTGCTGTCACCCCTCTGTAGTCAGCAGTACGACTTCGCCCTCAGACCTTGGGTAGCTGCTTTTAGTCTAAGGTTTTTTTAATCGATCTACTTGGCATGATAGAACCTTCTGGAACATGTGTTCCAGCCAGTAGAGCTCGGTTGGGTCGTCACCATTGTCAAGATCGACCACCACGTCAAGATAGCAGCTACGGTCGGGAGTCTTTGAAGCCCTGGTTATGTCAATATGTCTGTAAGAAATGGGGTTTACATCGCATCGTTGTGAGTAATTTTGGTCTATGCTTGTGAAACATCGCCCCTTCAAACTAAAGGCTCACTGTGTTTGATCATCATTGCTTCCGAAAAGATGCTCATATGTAGCAGCAGCCGTATATAAGTAATGTTTAAGTTTAATATTGTAACGATAATTTAATTAGCAATCATCATAATCATTTTTCAAGCACTTGATTGCATATGAATATAAATTGTATTAAACTTATTATTATCACTGTTATATTGATAGAAACGAATAATAATTTTGTTGTTTTCACTTCCAGGTACATTGACTCAAGCACGATCTGCAATTGTCAATAATATTAATTTAGCGAATGTTGTAGTTGAGCATGAAATTCATCTGTTCATCGATTTTGGGAATTGCAATTTGGAAGGATCCATTGATGAGATAAAAAATGTTCATCGTCAAACCAATTCCTATTCTGAACGTATTGAGGTAGATTGTTACACTTTTTTGATAGTATAATATTTTGCATTGATTTAAATCAATATAATTCACCGGATTCGTTTGATGGTAAGAAAGTAGTTTATCATTCTTAGTAGAATTAAATCGTTTTATCAGATACTATCAATATTAGTATAATTATGTTCAGAGCAAGTAATCAAAGCAATTGATTCTGTCTAATAAGTAATAAAAATTTATTTCGTTTTAAAGATAGTTTTTGTGATATAACGACACCGTCAGGGAAAATATTTAAATTCAGGAGTCACTAGATTTGTCTCGGTCTAGTTTATAAATTTCCAGCAGTATGGCACTTACAATTCGTAGTTGGTCTCATTTTACGAAGTAAAGCCTTTTTATACCAATGTAAACAGTTGAAATAATACTACAACTAATTATCATTTATTATTCAGTTTGAAGTGGTTGGGATTATCCCTTTGTTGATATTCTGACTGAAATTTGATCATTTTTAGTTGGCGTATATGTATCATCTGTGGATTGCCTCTGCTTAGCCCTCGCATAGGACAAAACATGCGTTCTAGATCCCACTTCTATTCCCTTTATGATGATCCCTAGATCCCTAGAACTCACTTAGAAAAGCTCCTAATTTCGGATTTTATGCTTTCGCGCATCGGCTGCCCAGATGACCTTGAGATTTCACTACCACTCGGAAAATCCTCGACTGTCATTGGTTGATGAATTATTTCAGCAAGCTATTTTTGTGGCTCTCCCAAGGACGTTTCTATCATGTAGTCAGCTCGATTTGTGTGCTGGTCGTCCTCGTATTTTCTGGGTGCTTGTACAATACACTTTCTACACGATATCAAGACTTCTTTCTCTACTAAGTGGGGCCTTGGGACGCTCGGATTAGAATAGTCTATCGTGTCACTGCATCATTTGTCTTCGCTCTCGTTTACCGAATAAGGTGAACTCGTAATAGTTTCAAGCATAACAGATTGATAATTTTTCAGTTCTCATTGAATTATTTTCCTCATGTGAATAATGATGAATTCTCTAGCTAAATTTCTAGCGAAATTACTCGGCATCCCCGTAAAGTACGTAATTTATGTACTATGTTTTCTGAAATGCTTGAAACTATTACGAGTTCACCTTATTTGGTAACGAGAGAGAAGGCAAATGATGCAGTGACACGACAGGCTATTCTTATCCGTTGTCCCCTGCCTGGCTAATTATATCAAGAAGTCTTGATATGGCCTAGGCAGTGAATTCTACAAGCACTCAGAAAATACGAGATCGTCAAACACACAAATTGAGTTTATTTATACATGATAGAAACGTCCTAGGGAGATCCACAGAAGTAGCATACTGAAATAATCCGTCAACCAATGACAGTCGAGGATTTTCCGAGTGGAAACTAATATCAAGGTCAACTAGGCAGCTTAAATTATGAGTCACATTAATATAATAGGAGAATATTTGGTTGGTCAGATGCAACAGAGGTAGTTTACGGATACATGAGACTAGATCATGTGGTGAGTGCCTAAACCACTATTTGGTTGGTTAGTTATGGAGATAACTGGAGTTTCGTTCTCTGAGCTGGATGTTTTGGTTGTAGAGCTTTCATTAATCTTCTGAACAACATCAGCACAAGCTTTAGATATGGGTAAAGTATTCGAATTTCTTCACTTATGACTCGTAGCTTGTCCTGTTGACCTCGATCTTGACTGGTTGTTATTAACCTTAAACATTTTGTTGTCTACAAGAAAGCAAGAACCAGAAGACAGCAAACAATATCCGCTGAACAAGAGCAGAGAAAACCAAGGAGCAGGCCAAATACACAAACAAACAAGGTGGATAGGAGTATCAGAGCTGATAAGCAAAATATTTGGAAAACCTAACTATCATAGCTGAGAAAGCTGCAGAAGGAAATATGAGGCAACTATGTAAGACAACGAAGAAGATGCTGGAAAATCTAGTAAACCAGAACGGCCAGTCAAGATCAAAGAGGGCAAACCAATCACCAATATTGCTTGCTAATGCATTCATTTTTTTTATTTTCCCCTCATATTTTTTTCATCTCCCAGTACCATATAAATTTTAGTCTGTCGTTTTCATCATTCACTAAAATTGTATTTTAATGCCCAGCAATCTGACTTCAATTCGGACGAACTATTGTATACTCTGTGAAGTAAACAAACCCTTCAATGTGCGTAGTCAGACTGACAATGGAATACTTAGAGTAAAAGTGAAGTGGAGAAGGCATGTGGGCCAACTTAATGCTATGAGTCATGACTAAGTACTTACGATCGGACAAAAGTAGGCTAGTAGACATGTGGTACGTGTAGTAAGCATGAACACATACTCAAATAAAAACATCGGTTATCTGCAAATAACGACTTGGGCAGAAAACGTTAATTAGTTTGTCCGAAAGTGACTTGAATGTTTACCATCAACGTAGTGTTCCACCTTTTCGTTTAGTTTTAACTAGAAATGATTTGATTATTCATCGATGTTTTTTGAACTACTAAACAAACTGTGTCAACTAATTAAAATTTATGGTTTAATTTATTTAGCTAATTACAAAGATCTTTTCTGGGCGCAATATCAAGGTGTTGGCTGATGTTTTTGAATCGATTCTTGGTGCAATTTTTGTAGACAGTAATGGTAATCATCAAATCATATCAGCTGTTATTCGTCGATTCCTGGGTAAATCTATGGGTATGTTTCTCCTGTATACAAATTTTCTACTATATTAGATCTCTTTTCAATGATACTGATATTTAAACTCTGATTACTCTCTTATATCTGTGTTTGCTTATAAGTGTGTGTGTGTGTCTGTGTGTGTTAGTCATATAGAATAACATCATTTAGTCGAATTCTGATTAAAACTATTTTCAAACTGTTGTTTCTAACTCGACGAAATAGCTTCTGTTTCATAAAGTTTTGTTTCTTGAATAAATTACCAATCCGACCGATTTTCAGTCTTAATCAATATCAAAAGATTTTGAAGCTGAGAAATCGCTTTGTATTCATAGTCAATCAATATTTATCTAAAAATTTCAGTTTTACACTGACGTAGCTTTATTAATGGTGTATTGAAATGAATTGAAGTTCAGTTATCTCCAGAAGCCTCTCGAATCCTAGTTTCACTGATTATAGTGAAGCATTTTATAATAATAGACGTTTACTCTATAGCACATTCTTGTTGCCATTCTTCTCATATATATAATTTTCCAAATATAAATAATGAACTATTTCTATCTGTATTGTTAATCAATCGTCATCTAGTTAATGTCACAGTTTTATGTTTTATTATCATCATCATCAGTTGATATTGTAATATGAACTTAATTATTATTTCTTCGTTACTTTTCCTCATGTTCATCAAATTATTATTTATAAAACAAAATAAAAAAAAATATATTTTACCGTCCAAATAATTATCATGTATAATACTCATATATTTTTATCATTAAGTCATCAGTATTCTATCCTTTATTCCAGAATAAATGTTACAAGCAAATGAGGTTGTGCCTCCTTTAACATTTTGTCAATAGAATTTTCTACGGTTTTTGTTATATCTGTTTTAATGTTAAATAACACGAAGCATATTTCAGTTGAATAGTATTCACTAGTTCATGTGCTAGTCAATGTGACCTCCTACATCTACTTATAATTATTGATTTAATTATATTCAGGTCTTTATAATTGTAGTAAATCGTAAAATTTGATTCAAATCTGTTAGATGTGTCTTAAGGAGGATGTACTAACGACTCTTTTATTCTTAATCATCTGTCATGAATTTATTTATAGCTGTAAAATTTACTAAGCTTTATAACTCATACATTACTGGAAGTTATGCTTGTTATTTTAATATTTTGATTTTACTTCTAGATACTTTCATTACTAATTCTTCTGTCCAACAAGTTCAACAAATGATTTTACCATATCCTGATATACGATATAAGTAGGTCAAACGAATTGCTTTTTTTGTACTTCCTTACAGGTTACTAACAAGCTGGTTACTTAACTCCTTACTTCTGTTCAGGATTTTTAAGCTCGATTGGCTGGTAAATTAGCTGTTACATTTTTTCCCTAGAATAATATATCGTCACTGTTACTGCTTATACGGTTCGTCTTTCTTCATGTACTTTTATCCACAACTAAAGCTTACCCTTCGATATTTTCAAGTTAAACATCAAATGTTTTTTATTCAGTAACTTCCAAAATGTTCACGCAACTGTTGTAACATTCAGAACTCTTGACTAAGCCTTTGTATAAACGGTTGGCATAAAGGTTATCTTCCTGCCAAGCTAAATAATGAGTACAATAATTCGGCAATGAATTATTATGAAAAGAGTAAGAAGAAGTTGGAAAATTGTCACATTAACCTAGGCTTAAAGATTACCAAGGTAAATTCAAGGTTATGACAAATTGTTTCTGCACACATAAGGGAAGTTTTAATTTTCTAATAGCCAAGGCCTCCATAAACCTCAAAATTCGTCCTTCAACATTTCTATACAATGTTTTGAAGGCTGTCTTGATGTCAATCTTACGCCCTGTCTCAATTATGTGTTTGGCGATCGATGAACATGGTTTTCTATTTCCAACGCTAATCGGCTCATCTGACGTTAACTGATTTTGAAGCCACTTAGGTACATGTTCCATAACCCTTGATTGCAAAGTCCGATTACTCCTCCCTATGTATGTGTGTCCACACAAACATGTAAATTGATAAATGCAATGGGATGTGATGTAATCATTCGAGCAACGTTTAGGTATATTTTTGAAATAATGGACTTGGTCTTTTCAATGATAATCAGTTTAGCAGCGTTGTATGTTTTCTCTATGGCTGCTTTTACTCTCTGTCTTATTATCAGACCATTTGCTTCACCTCTAAATGGTAAAGTGATATAAACCTTTTTCTTCTCAGCAGAATCAAAAACTTGCTTTTGATCTCTACACCTATTGATGAACTTTAGCGGATAGCCATTTGAAATCAATGCTTCAGTTAAGAATTTTGCATCGTCGTCAAATGTATCCGTGGTGCAAATCCTTTGAGCCCTATTGAAGAGGCATTTTACCAAACCTCGCTTGCATTGTAGTGGACAAAAACTGCTGAAATTCAGATACTGTCCAGTCCACGTTGGCTTTCTATAAACAGAACGCTTTATAGTTCCATTCTCTCTTCGGCTCAACAGTATGTCTAAAAAAGGCAATCGATCATTATCTTCTGGTTCATGAGTCAGTACTATGTCCTTCTGAAGGCTATTAAAGTTTTCCGGTAACTGAAAGACGTTGAGTTCTTTATCACATATAATTAAAATATCGTCCATATATCTCCTATAGAGAGTAAGCTTATTTATGTGCTCATTCCACAAATTTTCAGCATATGCCATGTAAACATCAGCTAAGAGAGGTCCCAAAGGACCACCCATAGCGACGCCATCAACTTGCTGGAAATGTTCATCATCAAACGTGAAATGAACTTTCTCAGTACATAATAAAATTAATTCTCTTAGTAGACTTGACTGAATGGGAAAAAGGGGGAAATTACTTAATATATAGTCACAAAGAAAGTTAACAGTTTTCATTAGGGGAACATTGGTAAAAAGAGAGTTTACATCAAAAGAATGCATAGTCTTTTCTTTAATATTAATGTCATCAAGAACACCTATCAGTTCAAATGTATCTTTCAGGGAAAACTTACACAATTTATTACGAATCGGGCTAAGTAATTTAGCTAACCATTTGGCTAGCTTATGTGTAGGTGAGCCACACATAGATAATACTGGTCTCAGTGGATTATTCGGTTTATGAATTTTGGGTAATCCATATAAGTTCGATAGTACAGAACCGGTGGGTTTTAACATATTAAATTCATCTTTATTGATAACATTCATGTTTAGTAGCCTCATTAGATTGGAGTTAACTCTCGATTCTAATTTTCTAACCTCATTATTAGATGAAACATTAGTCAAAAACTTTCTTTCATCACTAAGGATGGATAACATTTTCTTCTTGTAATCACATTTATTCATTACCACTACTCCAGATCCTTTGTCAGGTTTTAGAATTACCAATATCACGGTGCCAAAATAAGACACAGGAATATTTTAACATCCAAACATTTCTGTGCCTTAAGGGACCTCCGTAAAAGATCAGATATTGTTCTTGATGACATTAATATTAAAGAAAAGACTATGCATTCTTTTGATGTAAACTCTCTTTTTACCAATGTTCCCCTAATGAAAACTGTTAACTTTCTTTGTGACTATATATTAAGTAATTTCCCCCTTTTTCCCATTCAGTCAAGTCTACTAAGAGAATTAATTTTATTATGTACTGAGAAAGTTCATTTCACGTTTGATGATGAACATTTCCAGCAAGTTGATGGCGTCGCTATGGGTGGTCCTTTGGGACCTCTCTTAGCTGATGTTTACATGGCATATGCTGAAAATTTGTGGAATGAGCACATAAATAAGCTTACTCTCTATAGGAGATATATGGACGATATTTTAATTATATGTGATAAAGAACTCAACGTCTTTCAGTTACTGGAAAACTTTAATAGCCTTCAGAAGGACATAGTACTGACTCATGAACCAGAAGATAATGATCGATTGCCTTTTTTAGACATACTGTTGAGCCGAAGAGAGAATGGAACTATAAAGCGTTCTGTTTATAGAAAGCCAACGTGGACTGGACAGTATCTGAATTTCAGCAGTTTTTGTCCACTACAATGCAAGCGAGGTTTGGTAAAATGCCTCTTCAATAGGGCTCAAAGGATTTGCACCACGGATACATTTGACCACGATGCAAAATTCTTAACTGAAGCATTGATTTCAAATGTCTATCCGCTAAAGTTCATCAATAGGTGTAGAGATCAAAAGCAAGTTTTTGATTCTGCTGAGAAGAAAAAGGTTTATATCACTTTACCATTTAGAGGTGAAGCAAATGGTCTGATAATAAGACAGAGAGTAAAAGCAGCCATAGAGAAAACATACAACGCTGCTAAACTGATTATCATTGAAAAGACCAAGTCCATGATTTAGCATATACCTAAACGTTGCTCGAATGATTACATCACATCCCATTGCATTTATCAATTTACATGTTTGTGTGGACACACATACATAGGGAGGAGTAATCGGACTTTGCAATCAAGGGTTATGGAACATGTACCTAAGTGGCTTCAAAATCAGTTAACGTCAGATGAGCCGATTAGCGTTGGAAATAGAAAACCATGTTCATCGATTGCCAAACACATAATTGAGACAGGGCGTAAGATTGACACCAAGACAGCCTTCAAAACATTGTATAGAAATGTTGAAGGACGAATTTTGAGGTTTATGGAGGCCTTGGCTATTAGAAAATTAAAACTTCCCTTATGTGTGCAGAAACAATTTGTCATAACCTTGAATTTACCTTGGTAATCTTTAAGCCTAGGTTAATGTGACAATTTTCCTACCCCTTCTTATTCTTTTCCTATTACGTTAATTTTCTCTGTCGTTCATTTACAATTATCACCCTCTGTCTATTTGAACTTTTATTTAAATAAATTGTTAGTAAATTTAGGTAAGCAGATATATAAGATGTTGAGATATACAATACCTGAATACTTTTTAACCAGGTTTATTCATCTTCTCGGTTCCTACTAAACCGAATACAGTGAAATTATCAATGAGAAAAACTGTTCCCTTTTAGAAAGGGACGATTTATCACTGAATAAAAGAGGATCGGTGGATTAGCTCCAAGAGGCGAGTAAGAAAATGACAAGAATATAATTATATAAGATTCAAGGAACATAACAAATCACCGGTCAATAAAACTTATCAGTAACAGGGTTTTTATATTTTGGGGTTGGATGAAATCAAACAAGAATTACCGACCATTCCGTTTTCTGATAAGACTGCTAGTAGAAAATAAGGTGAATTAAAATAGGGACTAGAACACTCAGCCAATGCTACCATAGGATCAAGGAAATGGTCTGGACTGAAAAACTAAAGCAAACCAGTTATTTCCAAAGTAATCGTAAGAGGAACACTATGCACATAAAATATCACACGTGCGACAGAAAATCCATTAACTTGGAGAAACTAACATAAAAGGATTTTCACAACCATGCACACGACATACGAAAACGATCTTATAGTGGTTTCGTTTTGAGTTTCGTGATAGTTAACAAGGTTGAAAACTGTCTGATGCTACTGTTTTGCTTCCATGTTCGTACTTATTCCTCATGGATGATTTCATGATCAATTCCTACCTTGCTCTCAAGTAAACATTAGATCGTGTCCACAAGATATTTCACGAGATCATTTAGTTTACTCATAGGTTTGTCCAATCAGAAAACGAACCATATATCAGTATTATCACATGATATATATTAGTAGTATGTGATTCAGAAATACGCTTCTCAAGTGTTCTACTGAGCTCAATTAGTTGACTGAAGTAATCTGAAACTAGTACGTTCAAACCCATAAAGTCACAATATAGCCAAGAGAAGGTGAAATTTTAAACTCTACCTAAATAATTGAATTATATCCGCTCGAGTTCATATAACCAATATCTGGTTTGAGATGGTGGAGAAAACTTGTAGCTCAGGTGGATGATTGTGGTGGTGTTTCGTTCTCTGAGCTGGTTGTTTTGGTTGTGGAGCTTTCATTGTTCTTCTGAACAACATCATCAGCACGAACTTCAGATAGAAGTGAAGCATTAGAATTTCTCCACGTTTGACCTGTAGCTTGTTCTGCTAACCTCGATCTTGATTGGTTGTTGTTGACCTTTGACCTGTCGTTGTTTGCAACTATGTTTTGATTGCCTCCCTCTTTTGATCTGTTTCTTGATCCAGTGTCACCTATGATTCTCCTGATTGGTTGATAAATTGGGTCAATGTCGATGTGTTTGTTGATTGCTAATTGACCTGAGTGCCAAGCTTCTAAAAATTCTCTAGTGTTCTTTGTCCTCCCCCTACCCAGTATTTCTACGTTGTTCCAATCAAATGTGTGTCCATAGTTGTCGGTATGTATTGAGATAAGCGAAGCGTTGTCGTGGCGTTTGACTGCTAATTGATGTTCACGTAAACGGAGCTGAAGAGGTCGTCCACTTTGTCCTATGTAGTGTTTTTCACAGTTTGAGCAATTTATTTTGTAGATGATATTTGGTTTTTCTTCCTTTGTCATTTTGTCCTTTGGTCTACATAAGATTGACTGAAGTGATTCTGTTGGTTTGTGTGCCACACCTATTCCAAATGGTTTCAGTAGTCGTGCCGTATGTTCCGATATGTCTTTGATGTATGGTAGGATGATGCGTTTATTTGTTCCTGTGCTTGATTTCACTTCTGATGATGGTTTTGGTTGATGTTTTTTGATGAAGTTGCGTGGATAGCCGTTCTTTTGGAAGATAGTCATCAGGTGTTGTTTCTCGTTTTTTAATGTTTCGTATGTGCTGCAGTGTGTCTTCGCTCTCTTGAACAGAGTTTGTATGCAGTTAATCTTGTGGGTTCTTGGGTTGTTGCTGTCGTAGTTGAGAATTACGTCGGTGTGGGTTGGCTTCCGAAATACTTGAGTTTCTAGAAACAGATCAAGAAACAGATCAAAAGAGGGAGGCAATCAAAACATAGTTGCAAACAACGACAGGTCAAAGGTCAACAACAACCAATCAAGATCGAGGTTAGCAGAACAAGCTACAGGTCAAACGTGGAGAAATTCTAATGCTTCACTTCTATCTGAAGTTCGTGCTGATGATGTTGTTCAGAAGAACAATGAAAGCTCCACAACCAAAACAACCAGCTCAGAGAACGAAACACCACCACAATATCTGGTTTCGAATGTTGCAGATTTATGAACCGTAGCTGTTAGCTTGACGTGATGCACAGGCCTTAATATTTTTCGACTCCAATTAACTATGTTGACATAACACTTGTTCCTTTTGGTCCTACAACACCAGACAGGTCATGTAGGGAATAGCAAAGCTAAAAGCAGCAACATAGGATGGAGGATATAATCCATCCTATCCTGCTGAATTAAAAAAAATATTTCTTTTCGACGCTTTTTGAAGTGATGTTAAAAATTATTCTCTGTGATGATCTAACTGTTCATTGTTTCCATGTTTTCAGTATATGTATAACTGTTTTGCAAAGCATGGGACGTTCTCCCTTTTGACCGGTATAAGTAAACCTTCAAGCGTAAGAGCTTCAAAGAATACTGAAAAAGCAACTCGATTTTCATTACTTCCTTACGCATGTTACCCCCAATGGAGCATAGGCCGCCCACCAGTTTTCGCCAACCAACTCTGTCCTGAGTTTCCCTCTCCAGTTCTTTCCAATTTTTGTTCATTCCTCTCATATCTTTCTTTACTCCTCAGTGTAATGTGTTCTTTGGTCTTCCTCTTTTCCTTTTACCTTGAGGGTTCCAAGAGAGGGCTTTTCTTGAGACGCAGTTAGGTGCTTTTCGTAGTGCGTCTTCTATCCACTTCCACCGCTTCTTCCTGATTTCCTCCTCCACTGGAATCTGGTTTGTTCCCTCCCACAGTACGTTGTTGCTGATCGTGTCTGGCCAACGAATCCGAAGTATTTTGCGTAGACAACTGTTCATAAACACTTGTATCTTATGGATGATGGCTGTCGTAGTTCTCCAAGTTCCCGCTCCATACAGTAGAACTGTCTTGACATTTGTATTGAAAATCCTGATTTTGGTTTTGGTTGAAAGTTGTTTGGAGTTCCAGATATTTTTCAACTGTAGAAATGCAGCCCTTGCCTTGCCAATCCGCGCCCTCACATCTGCATCGGATCCACCTTGGTTATCGGTGATGCTGCCAAGCTATGTAAAGGTGTCAACGTCTTCCAAGGCATCTCCTTCAAGAGTGGTTCGGTTGACGCGTGCTGTGTTGCATCGGAGAATTTCGCTTTCTCCTTTATGTATGTTGAGACCTGCTGCTACACTGGTCGTCTTCTCTTGCATTTGTTGTTGCGTGTGAGATAAAAGAGCCAGATCATCTGCGAAGTCCAGATTGTCCAACTGCATCTTGACTGTCCACTGTATACTGTACTTTCCTCCAGATCTTGACGTCTTCATAATCCAGTTGATCACGAGAACAAAGTGAAAGGGTGATAGTAAGCAACCTTGCCTGACACCTGTCTTCACCCCGAACGAGTTTGTCAGTTGACCTCCGTGCAAGATTTTTCATTTGAATCCATCATAAGAATTCCGTATTATGTTGACCATCTTTTCAGGCACACCGTGGTGTCGGAGAAGCTTCCATAATGTTTTCCTGTTCACGCTATCGAATGCTTTCTCGTAGTCAATGATATAAAACTGAAGTCGTTTGTAGGATTTAATTTTTCCTACAGATGTACTTCTAGAACTGTAAACGCAATATTGGCGAGTACAGAGTCTATGGGAAAGCTATAGTCAGAACAAGACCGATTTTGCTTTAAACGTAAAAACAATTAGATTGGTACAACAAATAAGGAAATTACAGTTATCAGGTAAAACGAGCAAACGTACCGACCAATATAGCGTGTCTTATGGAAATGAATAAAGTTATGAGTCACATTAATTTAATAAGATAATAATGTCCTTCAATTATTAGGTCATTTACAACAAAGAAAATTTACAGACACGTCAGATCAGATCACGTGGTGGGCGCTTAAACTACAATTTGATTGGTTAGTTATGACATAACTACATTTAGTTATGGAATTAACTAACATTCCCCCCGAAGCGGTCACCACGTCTAGGCCCCGTTACCGTCGCGCTCGAATAATCGACCTCTTCCAGTAGGCATAGGTTCCGTATATCTCGGTCAATCTCTACGATGTCTGTCTTCAATCGAATCGTTCTGACTCTACCATCTGTACCACAATTGACATATCTAACTATAGCTTTCACCCATAGATTTCTCGGCAAGCCAGTATTGTTTACTAACACTGAGTCCCCCTGTTGTGGATTCTTTCTCATTGTCTTCATGATGCGTTTCCATATACCGCCTCCATGATCAAAGATTAATGCTACATACGACAAAATATTTCTTCTACATTAGCACAGAGACGTAATTGTCAATTTAAATCCCATAGTCGTATAGGTAGTAGAAGTATGAGCAGAAATCGGAGAGATTAGGGTTCGAAGATATTATTATTCAAGAAGTATAATCTATTGGAGTAAACTGAAAAAGAGAAAGATAAAGGTGATAAGAAATTCAAATGATTAGGATCTGAGAGAACACAAAGAATGGATGCATCGGTGCTATTGCAAACGATTTCAAAGTCACAAACAACTGGACTGAGCCATGTTGGTAGCTGTAAACTATCTGGTTGAGATCCGCAAGATGATAGTAATCAATGGTGAGAAACCCTGAATGACACGGCTCTTTATCGGTGGCAATGCGATCTAGTTAATAAAATGGAATATAAGTATATCAGTCAACCAGTAATTATTCACTTCCTATTGTTTTATCAATCTTTGTATATGCATTTGTCTGATTGATATTTTGTTAACTGCAAAATATTAGATGTGTTGTTTCTCATTTTTACAGACTTTCAAATTTAATTTTCAGTTTTTGTATATTATTATTCTTGGGAAAGAATGGTAGGCAGTTCGTAATTTGTATCAAATATTCAAGTTATTTACTGTCTTATGCTATATGACTAACTCGTATATTTTATGTTTGATCAAACTGATTAATTTGTATGTTGATTGATATGACTTTTTATAATTTTCGCAGCAACTCAACACCCTTGTTACCAAATCTACGCGAAGATGCTCATAGTTCACCTGTGTGGAATAAAGGTAAGCGCCTTTGCGTGACGGAAGATACAGAAAATGATTCGCGTCTTCGACTCTTTGAAAGTTTTGATAGGTTATTAACTGATGGCGAGAAGACAGATTTGAAATAATCAGAATAAATCTTTTTGTTTAGATCTATTATACTTTGTTCACTGATTATAAATTTTCTTCAAAAAACCTATTTTGTATACTTTTTTGAGAGCTATTCCCTATTTTTGTTCTTTGTATATTGAGCCAGTTTTTTAATCCAAGTTTCAAATATTACATACAACAAACTTCTTATTGTGGTTCTCAATTTATTTTTTGCACAGGTATATTTTCTTAGAATAAGGTTGTTGGTGTTAGTTTGTTAACGGTTATTTTTGGTAAGATTTCGTGGATCTCATTTACTTGTTACCACTCATTATTGACGATCACACTTGTTTGTATGTGGTGCGTGGTCAGTCGTTCTACTCTATTATGCCAGTCTGAGTTTGTATTCAAAAATTAAACACGGGTGTCCAAACCATTTCAGCATAAATCCAAATAGGGTAAAAGTGTATGATTTATGTTCCGCAACGTGTTTTGTATTTTACAACCCTATAAAATTCGTGAAAGTATTGTTGGACTAGATCTATTTAAAGAACATAAATGTTTTCTACTTGATAAACGATTGGCTGCAATCTCTGTGATATGTGTTCATTCAAAAAGTCAGTAAGGGAATTCACATACATGAATGTTTCTACCATGTCGATATTGTTGCAACAAGACTGTCTTTAAACAGTATACGTAACTGCTCTTGGTAATCACTAAAACATTGAGGAAAATTTTTTTTCACAGAGCTTAAGATACTTCTGGTGAGTAGGACAGCCTTCTCAGTGATGAGTAGGCATAATTCTTGTCATACTTCTAGAAAGTAAACAACGAGATAAATTAGTCACCACATGGTGCAATCATCTCAGTTACCGGATGTGAATTCCGTAACTGATACAACAGTATTTGAATCAGTTTACCGAGTAGATATTTCAGGAATGCGCAGTTGTAAACGGAGAAAACATGATGAGCACTAATAAACAAACTTGGAACTCAGGAAAAGCGTGGGATGATGCACGAAGGTATCACTATATACGTCAAGCAAATTCAATCCAAGGATGTGTATTCCTAGTGCGAGTACGCTCGTGTTTTATCCTAAGTCGGTGTGCTCTTGGGTGTAGTTTTGCACAGAAGTAATGATGAAAAAACTTTATGGAGGGCATAATTTACAATGATCGGGTTTCGCACATGTCCGTTAGACTGCACTAGACATGATTCGTTTTTCCCTTAAATAAGAGGACACAGAATTGTTTGCAGCTACTTTCCTACTAGGGCAGCACGTGTTCTACAGAAAACTCACTAAGGTGATTACGTTTTGTTAATTTCAGAATAGCATAGAGTGACTTAGATTAACAGGAAAGAAAATGAAAACACAAGAGATACATTTCTCCGGCCTTAATGCATCTGTGCCATGATCTTATTCGGACTACACATAAACTATCGCTACCCATTGTCCTGCCAGTTCTTTAATACCTATCATCAGTTTGTTGTTTCTACATGCACTTCAGTGACGTACCGTTTTTCCTATTTGGTTATCCATTGACTAATTATATTTTTTAATTCGATTACAATTTCTCGTCAACTTAATCAAACATCTTTCCCCTCTAGATCCAAATCGCTTAAAGTTCGTCTGGAAAGACAAACTTTTCATCACAACATTTCACAGCTCTGCACGTAGTTCATAAGTTGCCGATGCCTGACAAGCTTATAAAATCGAACTTACAGGAATAGTGTTTATCAACAGAATGTTAAATGTTGAGCCTCGATGAGGAAATAAAATAATTTTACAGCCACTTTAAATGAGGAATAGTGAAGTTACTGACCATTAAACCTTGATAGTAGGGAGCGATAGCTCAAATGCAAATTCAACAATAAAGCAACTGATCAATTCATTTGCTTGAGCTTCTACGAGTTCACCTTATTCAGTAAACGGAACGAAAGTCAATGACTCAGCGATACGATAGGCTACCCTTATTCTATCTTCACAGGATCCACTAATTAGAAGAAGGAGTATTCCAGTATCTTTTTCACGAGCTAATGTAAACCAATTTGATTTATTCGCGCTCGATTCTTGTTCTTTCGGTACGGTTCCAGGTGTTCGGTAATGTCCAATGGATGGAGGTCTAGCCACTGGACTGTCTAATTCTAGTCATTTGGCAGTTGGTTGTGAGTTTGTATGTCTCGGGATTTGAATGAAACGTTTGTTTCAGGGCAGTAGGGTTTCTGGATACTAGCAGCCGTCACATTACCAAACCGGAGGTCAGTTAGTTGCAATGTGGAGAGTAATAAGGGTAAATTAAAATGATAATATGAGTAAAATTTCAGAACTGAGTAGTATATAGATGAATTTAGTTTATTAATTGGTAGTGAAGATTGTGAGAGAGGACCGAAGTGTAAGCAAGGGAGAGGAATAGGCGAGATAGATTAATTGAGTGATCTGAGGAGATGTCAATGATAACAACTAGTAGGTCTCAAGATATGCATCAGGCACAGCTTGTCCAAGAGGGAGATGATAGTCCGCATGTGAGTACGTGATTATCAAGTCTCTTCTTAAAGCAGTCTACTGAGGGGGCTGTAACTACCTCGGCTGGGAGAGCATTCCCAGTTGCGATGACTCGCAATGAGAAAAAATGTGCACGAATCTGAGTGTTTGCTCTTTGATGTGCAATCTTTTGAGGATTGCCTCGAGGGTAGTGGTGGTGATGCATCGGTAAGATGCTCACATTGGGATGGTTTGGCGTGTTTAATATGGTGTACGCCATAATCAGGTCACCTCTGATTCTCCTGGAGTTCAGTGGGAATAATCCCAAGAGCTGGAGTCTATCGTCGTACGGTTTACTTTTCAACCCTATCACCCATTTGGTTGCTCGTCTCTGCACTCGATCCAAGAGATTAATGTCTCTTTTAAGCAGAAGGGGTGTGATGACATTGTGAACCTCCAGGTATGGGCGCGCGTACGTCTTAAATAGGGTCAAGAATAAATGCGGGGTGATAGCAACAAGTTGTCTTCGCATAAATTGAAGAGTCGCATTTGACTCAGCTGCGTCCCCTACATCGTTTGGACTTGTGTGGAGGCTTCCTGTGGTTATTAAACCAAGATCGCGCTCTGAGGAGACATTAGGGAGCGGACTTCCATTGAGAGTGTAGGTGGTTTGCGTCATATGAGGCAGGAAATGCATGAAGTGGCACTTCGGTTAGTTGAGTTTTAAACCGTTTTTCACTGCCCATTTCTCAATGGATGTAAGGTGATTTTGGAGCTCAGTCGAATCCTCTTCGCTTCTAATGGACCTCCTGATCTTCGCATCGTCTGCGTAGATCAGTGCCAGTGAGCTAACTAAGTTTAGCAGGTCGTTAATGAATATCAGGAAGAGGAGTGGGCCTAGGATGGTCCCCTGTGAAACTCCTGAAGTGAATACTCTCCAACTCGCTTGCACCCTGTTTACCTTGGTGCGAAACTTTCTATTCTCAAGGTAGTTTCTGAGCCAAGATACGAGTGGGTCAGTGAAGCCCATTTCCACAACCTTTTCGATTAGGCGTGCTTGGGGTACTGTGTCAAAGGCTTTTGCGAAGTCGAGAAATACTACGTGCACTGGTATTTTACGGTCCAAGCAGGATGTCCAACTGTCCCATGCGATGAGAAGATTAGATGCATACGACCTGCCTTTCCGAAACCCGTGTTGAGCTTCATGGAGTATTTTATTCGTATCCATTTGTTCGTCCACGAACCCTTCCATAACCTTTGATAATATAGGTAGTAGTGCAACTGGTCTGTAACAGGCTGGGTCCTTTCTATCTCCTCCTTTGAAGATTGGAGAGAGAGAGTAGCTTGTTTCCATTCCGCTGGGAATTGGTGTGACTCCAGTGAATGCCTGAACAGGTTGCATAACGGTGAACAGAGGGCTTCAGCGCACTGTTGCAAGACTATAGGGCGGATGTTGTCACAACCTGGTGACTTACCTGGGCGTAAGGATTTTAGTTTCCTTAATACTAGGTCAGGAGTGATACGGATGTTCCCTAAGCCGTCAGCTGGCATTGGGTTGGCGTAATACTCTGAACATGTAGGCGCCTGGTTTAATTGATCAGAAAAGTCAGTGCTGAAGTTCTCGGCCATCTCTAGGTTGGTGAGGTCTTCTCCGTCAGGCCCTTTTAGGCGGCACAACCCTTGATTGGTAGGCTTTATTTTGGACATGAACCTAAACAGATGTTTCGGGTTTGCCTCTATTCTGGCGGCTAGTATCGTCTGGAATTGTCTCCTGTCGCTTCGAACTTTGGTATTGCATCTGTTTCTCAATGCCAAGTAAGAACTGCGATCGGACCCCTCAAGGAGACCTTCCATTTGTGCCAGGCTTTCCTCTTCGCCTGTAGCAAGCGTTCCGTGCCGCGCCTAACCCAGGTCCTTCTGTTCTGGCGTTTTGGATGTGATTGAGGTACGTTGTCTACGACAGCGTTTTGGATGATATCTCTCACTGCTTGCCAGTGATCATCTACTGTCAGCCTCCTCCACTCCCGTGGCGATGGGGCATGTAGGAGCACCTCTCTCATGAGTATGTAGTTTGCCCTATTGTAGCAAAGGTAAGGCTCGTTATCGTCCGGTGTCAGCGTTTCGTTTGTGACCAAGTTTAAACAGGACTGTGCCATGGTCACTACTACCTATTGGTGCGCGGATGTTAACATCCTCAACCAGGAGCTGGTCGTTCGTTAACAGATAATCTAGGTTTGAGGACTTCCCTTCCTTAGTCCACCTAGTGGCGCTGCGTACGTGCTCAGTCATGCCAGAGCTTCTAATGGCTGTACCAAGTTGTCTTTGGAACCAACCAGTGGGAGTGATACTCATATTGCTGAGATTTAAAGATGGGGTATTGAAGTCTCCAGCTAAGAGTATTTGATCAAACCCTAGGAGTGGCAGTTGCAGAATTACCTCAACCAGTTTGCTTTTCTGGGCCCTAGTACCCGAAGTAGGTCGGTAGATCCCTCCAATCAGGTGTTTCGTGCCATTTGAGTGGAACCAACACCAACATGATTCTGTCACCTCAGTTAGTTGGGTGTCGTATAGCCGCTCTGCTTTTAAGTGGCTATTTACATATATAGCCACTCCACCTCCGGTTTGGTGTTCCCTATCGCTTCGGAAGAGTGTCATGCCTGGCAAGCCAACTTCTGCGTCTGCAATGTCAGGGGATAGCCATGTTTCTGTTAGGATTATGATCTT